ACCCTGAGAGAGGAGGGTGGAAAGCATGAATTTCTATTTCCATACATGAATAGCCAGGCTTGATTACCTTGGGCACAAATGCTGGGTTTGGGCGCAAAGTAACTTTGGAAAAATTTTGTGTAAACCTGATACATGCAGGGTTGATAGATAATGCATCTAACTCTCCTACCCGCTTCATAGAGGTTAGGGCGAGCAGTAAAGCTGTCTTGTAGGAGACAATCTTCAAATCTACCTGCTCCAAGGGTTCAAAAGGGGCTTCCCTGAGTGCTTCCAGGACCAGGGCCAGATCCCATGCTGGTAACATAGGTTTGGTGATTGGTCTCAGACGGCGCACACCCTTCATAAATCAACTTACGATAGGATGCTTTCCTACTGTTTCGCCGTTAAATTCCATGTAGCAAGATGAATTGGCCGCCAGGTACACTTTGTTTGTAGAGAAGGCATTGCCTTCTTCTAGCATCTCCTGAAGGAAGGTAAGGATGTCCAACACTGATGAAAGAAATACTCCTAATGGCCATAACAGGGCTATTAGGAGCACCCTTACCCTCTGTGATCTGATTCTGGACAGTGTGGGGAGGATAAGGCTTATCGGTGGGAAAGCATATAACAGGGTCTCTGGCCAGGGCTGTGCTAATGCATCCATCCCTAATGGTGCATCCATCCCTTTTAGTGAGAAGAACAGGGGACAATGTGTGTTCTCCTCTGAGGCAAATAGATCCACTCTTGCCTGACCATATTTCCTGAACTTTCTCTAGGTGAAGCCTCCATTCCCCCGGGTGAGGATTCCCCCTCGACAACAGATCTGCCCCGATATTCATTTGGCCTGGCACATGTGTCACTCTGAGAGACAGCAAGTGCTTTCTGTTCCATAACAATATTATTTTTGCCAAGGCATGCAGACTCCTCGATTGGACTCCCCCTTGCCTGTTTATATTTGCAACCACTGTTGTGTTGTCTGATCTGACTAACACATGACGGTCTCTTATCTGCCGAAGGAAGTGTTTGAGGCCAGAGAAACTGCAAGGAGTTCCAGACAATTTACATGCATTACTTTGATTCTGTCCATACCCCATTCACAGGTTGTTCCTCCATTATCGCTTCTCAACCGAGTGAGGACGCATCTGTGGTGACCACCTTGCGATTTAAGACTACTCCCATTGCCATTCCTTCCCTCAGGAATTCCCTGTCCCGCCAGATGAGCAGTGCCCCAAAGGCACTACTGCTAAGACAGAAGCCATGAGGCCCAGCAACCTCAGACACAGCCGGAAAAAAACTGTTTTCCCCAGATGAAACTGACTTACACAGTTCCTTAAATTCTCCCTCCTCTGTTCTGACAGGGTTGCCCGGTAAGATAATGAGTTTAGGCTTAAACCCAGAAATATTATTGACTGAGTCGGAGTTAACGAGCTCTTCTTCTGGTTTACTACAAAACACAGAGCATTCAAATGCATTAACACTGCCTTTGTATGCAAATCTGCCATCTCCTTCGACCTGGCACAAATTAACCAGTCGTCCAGATATGATAATATCCTTATACCCTGTTGTCTCAGCGGTGTTAGTGACGCTTCCACACATTTTGTGAAAATGCGGGGTGCTAGAGACAGGCCAAATGGTAGAACCTTGAACGCTTATATCTTGTACTGGAAAGCAAACCTTAGGAATTGTGCTGAGGATGGATCTGAATATGGAAATAAGCATCTTTCAGATCTATTGAGGTGAACCAGTCTCCTCTTTGAATAGAATGGAGCAGGGATTTGTGTGTCAACATTCTGAATTTGTATTTTCTCAGGTGTTTGTTTAAAGTTCTGCAGTCCAAAATAGGCAGAATGCCTCCCCCTTTCTTTGGGATTAGAAAATACTGGCTGAAGAATCCCTTCTTTGATTCTTCTGCTGGTACTCCCTGAATTGCTTCCTTGAGAAGGAGAGAATTTATCTCTTCCTTCAAAATGTTTGCATTCTCTGCCTGCACTCTTGACTGTTTTATTCTCGAGAACCCTGGAGGTCTTCTCGCAAATTGCAGTCTGTACCCCTTTTGAATCGTGCTGAGTAACCACTGAGAATCTGTGCATTTTACCCAATTGTCTAGGTCAGGGGGGGCGAATGTCGGTCCTGGAGAGCCGCAGCCCTGCAGAGTTTTGCTTCAACCCTAATCAAACACACCTGAACAAGCTAATCAAGGTCTGAACGGTTACTAGGAAGCTACAGGCAGGTGAGTTTTAATTAGGGTTGGAGCTGAACTCTGCAGGGCTGCGGCTCTCCAGGACTGGAGTTCGCCACCCCTGGTCTAGGTGTATTGATAAAGCTCATTCTTCTTCTGATTCTGAAATCTAGCACCTCGTTCAAACGTGGCGAAACCTGGAACTGCTGTAGACTTTCTACTTGCATTACAGGTGTTTTCAACAATACAGTTTGTACAGGATGCCTGTGTAACACCGTAATGTGACTTAAACAATCTCTTTTCATTTGTATAAGAGACTTGTTTGAATTTAGAAAACAGAAAGAACAAGAGACCACACAATGTTCTTGTGCATAAACAGTCTGCTTTATTTGATTCAACAACACAGGGGAAACAGGTGTGTGATGGTGCTTCTTGACATTCTCTACTTGACCCCAGGGTATGTGCGGTGTACTCATTGTACTCCGGGGGATTTGCGGAGACAATGTGAGAAACAGATCGCTAAACCGCCTGTTTCTTCTTTCTTCCCCTCGCAGTCGGAGGGGGAGTGGCGGGGCTGCTGCCACTGCTGCTTGAGCGAAGGATTTCTGCTGCCAAGAGGGAGATTGTTTATCTTGATCATATGGAACAATCACCCATGAGGATGTACTTCCCCTCCTTGGCCCGTGCCAATATGCTTGCCCTCTTGCTTGTGTATAAACAGGACGACATGATGTTTGTTGTTTCATAGGGGCTCTACATGGCACAAACGACCTGAAGGCTTCTTGTTCCCTTCTCTTTGCCTCGAATTGCTGCTGCATCATTACAACAGCCGGCCTGAACAGGCCTTTAGGATCTACCGGCTGATCAAGGAAGTGGGTCTTATATTTTTCCCCCATGGTGGAAAAATTCAGCCAGAGTGCTCTCTGCCCAACTACCGCCAGACCCACCGTTCTTCCTGTGGACTGAGCCAGGCATCTTGAGGAGCGCAATATGAGATCCGTTACCGTGCAAATCTCGGTCCACAGCTCAGTGACGTCCTTTCCTTGTGACAAGGCCCCTGTCATCTCCTCCTCCAGTTCGGCAGTGTAAGCCAACAGAAGAGTGATCGCGTTAGTAGCGCATCCCGTCTGAGTTGAAGATTTATAAATCTTCTCAAAAATCGATGCAGAGAAACGATCAGATCTTTGAGGCAGCTTAGGTGCGATCGTGGATAACCGACCGCCGATCGGGGATCCAGATGGCCTGCCAGTGTTGCCTCCATTGATGGCATGTGAGACCAGCCCATCTCCTGCATGTCCAGCGGGGAAAACCCATATACTGGAACTCTAGATGACAGTGGTCTTTCCCAATATTTCATCAGATCATCCATACAGTCCTGGGAAGGTGGAAATGCCTGATGAACTATTGAGGTAGTAGGATCAAGGAACTTCCTATCTAGCCTCGAGCATTTTGCAGCAGGGAGAGCAGATGGCCAATCAATGCCCAGTCTACTCGACTCTCGTCGGCAAACCTTATGCAGAGTTGTACCCTCTGCTGCCGTCTGCTGTTCTTCTACCCCTGGCTGGTAACCAGGGGACTCCGTTCGAGGAGCAAACGGGTCTTCGTCATCCTCCTCCTTGCCATCATCTGATATATCCCCCGAGGCTGTGATGGAAACTGAATCATCTTCCGGTAGGAATTTAGGGAATGACTGAATTTCCTTCTCGAAAGTGACCGGTCCCCCCAGCTCATCCAAAGGAATAAGCTGGTCAGCCCAACTCGTCGTCGGCATGGGATATTCCATTTCCTGCAGGGATGCTGTTGTATCTCTCCCTTGTACGGGATCGCTACACACATCCTGCACAAACACCGCTCTCCTGCGCAGCACCCTGGGACAGTTTGCTGCATTGATTACAAGAGATCGGTGCTTGCAGACACGCCGGGCATACCACATCCAGATCCTTAGCTGCAATAGTGAATCCACATCCCCCAGGACAAGGTCGAAAGGGTGCTGTAGACTTGTTTGACTTCATGGAAGAAGCCATAATTCAACTGGTAAGTTGATTTTATCCACTTCATGGGCTTGGTAAAGCAATTCAATACACTTAATGTTCTTAGATAGCTTGACGCCCTACAACAAGTGTCACTTGTCTTTCGGACAGTTTAGTCTTGCTGAAGTAACACTAAGTGCACTGAAAACAAGGGCTCGTAGCTTGGATGCCGCGAGTGAAGAGATGTAGGATGCCATACTGAGCCAGTGCTGCTGTTTAAATAGGAAGGGGTGGGGCTTCCCGAGAGTGTGGGCCTGATAGGCGTGATGGTACAGGGCTTCATGGATGGCCACGCAAGAGGCATTTCCCATAATGAGATGTTGAGCGAGTCGACCGAAAGAGAACCTCTGTAGTCCTATTTACACACTTAGCAAACAGTTTTTTTCCCAAGACAAGAGAAAGCTAAAAATATGCCGTAGAATAAATGTGCACCAAAATTGAATAGCACGTGCTCAACCAATTATATAAGAGGTTCAATATTTTTAAAAAATCAAAAAATTTCAACTCTAGAAGAAAAGTGCAAGACTCACTCTACAATTGTAGCTTTAGCTTTATTTCTTCAAAAACAATGACATTTTCAGCCAGCAGGTCAGGTGAAGGACTTGAAGTTGGGAGAAAAATCTGATTTTATTTATGTTTGTAGAGTGAGTATTACACTTTTTTCTTGAGCTTGTGTTAAATACGGACCAGAAACCCACTGACTACAGGATGACGTCACAATTCAGATGGTTGTCAGAGCAGATAGTTACAGTTTTTCAGGCTTGTTGATGTTCATGGTCTTTTGACATGTTTTCTGTGTCACTGCTTTGCAGGTTTCCTTCAACACCAGGCGTCACGTGAGCTTTCACATGGATGACGAGGAGATTGTCCGCATCAACCCGCGGAAGGACGTTCTCATCCGAGGCTATGAGGACTACCGGCACCCGGTGTTGTGGAAGCAGGACCCAGAGCGCGAGGAGCCCGACGCCTCCGCCGCCTTCTCCAAGCTGGATGGCAAGAAGTGCGAGTACCTGTACGGCGAGGGCCCGGAGCAGCACATCGGCGGCAAGGACTCCGTCAAGACACAGCAGCCGGTCCTCGGCAAGTGCAAGGCATCCCGCAGGCGGCGAGAGGACGGCGAGCGCTCGCGCTGCATCTACTGCCGCGAGATGTTCAACCATGAGGACAACCGGCGGGGTCAGTGCCCCGATGCGCCCGACCCCATCAAGCAGTGCATCTACAAGGTGAGCTGCATGCTGTGTGCCGAGAGCATGCTGTACCACTGCATGTCCGACTCGGAGGGAGACTTCTCGGACCCATGCTCCTGCGACATCAGCGAGGAGCATTTTTGTGTGCGCTGGCTGGCGCTGCTGGGTCTGTCTTTGCTGGCGCCCTGCATGTGCTGCTACCCGCCGCTGCGCGCCTGCCACCGCTGCGGAGAGGCCTGTCGCTGCTGTGGAGGAAAGCACAAGGCTGCGGGCTGAGCGCTGTTTTCATTGGCCCGAGACGGGCGAAGCGTCACTCACCGCTTGACTGGAGCTTGTGGAGAGAGCGGCCGAGCGCAAACGTTGATGGAGCTGAGCGGAGGAGCTCCTGACGTGAGGAGGAACGTCCTCGCCGCTCCGACATGATGAGGAAGCGCACTCCTGGAGCAACATGTCGCGTGTAACTATGTGAAGAAATAATAATACTATCGTGTCTTGTACAGAGATCTAACACATGTACGCTGAAGGGATTTCCGCTCTTGGCTTTTTCGTGCAGTTATTAACCGTGGCCTTTTCTTTTTGACGCTATCAGTACTAGACGGAGAAATGCACTAAGGTACAGACTCTTGTGCTCTTGTTTTGCTCCTGCATTGTGTTCGGGACGCACGTTTCCTAAAGCGCTGATGCTTTCAATCCAGCGGGCACTTATTATAATCCCAGAAGCTCCTTTCTGACTTTAACCGCAGACGGTTTAAAACGCTGAACAACATCCAACACGCAGGACATTATTCTCAAGGTGGAATATAAGTGTTTATTTTACATGCATGTTTAAAGCTGTTTATGTTGATGCCGAATCTTGTTTTGACTAATAATCAGATGTTTTGTGCAAAGATGATCTGTCAGTGTTGTGGGAAAGAAAGGCGGTTTACTTTCTATGCAAGTATTTCCACGAGATGCTCGGACCTCCGGCTGTACATATCAACACTATTCCCACAGTGACGGTACGTATCGTGGTTTGATTTCACAGCATTATGTACATAAGTCACATTTGAATATTGTTTCACATTGAAAAGTAGTGGAGACGACGGAAATGACTTCTGAGGTTTTAATGGAGATTCTCTCTAGTTTTGTATTGCCGAACGATGACAGTAAATGGTGCGCGGAACAAGCGTTTTTGAAGCTCGTCTTATGAAGCTGCTAGAAACAATCACTAACCGCATCGCAAGATTTAATCGGATGACTGTTAATCGCGATCTAGTTCTCCAGTATGGTTTAACCCTCGCCGCGCTTTTGTGTTGCTTCTTCTGGTGAATCGTTGGCGTCTGTGGAGAACCGGCTGGAGGCGAATCTGGATTTCTACGGTTCCTCGCAGATTATGCAACGCTTTCGCGTGTAACATTGCGTTCATGTGACTACCAGTTTAATCAGGTGCTGCTACTGTTTTATTTTTTTATTCGTGTTCTTCTCTATTCATGGAAATATGACTCTGGAATGCATAACATAGTGTGCGCATTTTCTCGGTTATGAATTGCCCGTGTAAAGGCGTCCTGTAGTCGTGTGCTCGTGTTCTTGATTATGCAGTATAGCAGTGGTTTCTGAGCCTGTGAACTCGTTTAGTTTTAGTGCCATCGGCTTCATTCTCCTCCATCTGATAAAGTGCCTCACATCCGCCGTAGACTCGCCCGTAACGCTCACGATCTGCTTCTGTCGCTTTATATCTATGTCTAGCTATTTCTATCATGGTTTGAAAATACTAAATATATGATGTAATATTTATAGTTCAGTAACTCATGTCATAGATGTATTTTCTGTATACAGATGTAGCTTGTTACTTTCATAAATATACAATGTAAATATGCATACAGATGTTTGTAACTGTTTTTATGTTACACCATACACTTATTACATCAATTAACATTACCATCAAAAATAAAATGAGAATTTAAAATAGTACGGTGTTTGTTTGTGTGTGTGTGTGTGTGTGTGAGAGAGAGAGAGAGAGAGAGAGAGTGTGTGTGTGTGTGAGAGAGAGAGA